ATAAGAATTGTTTAAAGAACTCTATTATTAAATCCAGCAGTGAAATCCTAATATTTACTATTTCTGAAACACAGTTAAACGAAAATTTAGCATTTCATCTCCAGAATTATCAAACAGCGAATATTTCCAGTCAATTTACATATTTAGAAATTTCCAGCGAATAGTAAGCAATTTATTTACATATTGTTCCTAGTTGCGAACAAGATTGTAGCTTGTTCCATAATGACACAAGCCATTTGCTTGAAACTGATTCCAACGCCTCGTTGAAGTTACTTAATGCTTCCAAGTGACTTTAAGACGATTATGAAACTGACGGTAAACACAGGCTCTGAGAAATAATGCGATAAAACGGTTGCTGTACCATTTCGTTCGAGAAGCCCGATAATTAGCGCTCTACGTATAAAACCCTTGAGCCCTTCTATATTTAAAGTGACTACGTAACTAAACACGAGAGATGTGATTGCTTTATCAAATCAGCTGTTAATTTTGAGTAGCAAGTTTGAGGTTAAATGTTTAGGTCCTGGAATACCATAGCGACAGAGTTAGATCTCGATCCAAATTTCAATAATATACAATTTTAAGTTCTGTGGACACTGTATAGGTTCAAATCAATAGCAGCAATAACACACGAGTCCTTACTCTCTATCGAGTATTTTTAGTACATTATTATTCACATCTGGAACCCTTAATTTTAGTAGTAGTCCTTTATTTGCAGTTTCCTATTCATGTCGAGATATTGCTTGGTTTCACTACTTGCTACGGTCACTTTTTGGTGAATACCAGATCCACTGCATACGTCACTCGGTTTTCCATTTCCACCTGAATTTGTGTATCCAATAGAAATCAGGAACTGCTTCCTCAGCCTTGTTCGTAAAAATTGTACGCCCACACCGAGCCTTCATCTTGTGAAATACGCAATCGAAAAAATAGACACGAAATGGACACGAGGCTCACTTCGGAACATCGGATACATAGTCACGTTGTTCACTTCGAAACATCGGATACATGTAGACACGTAGTCGTTCAGTTTGGAACATTATTAAAAATAAGTAGAAAGTGCATGTCGGTGTTATACAATTATTCAACCTACACTCCACTTATAAATATTAGGCCTTCAAACAATTGCCTTTTAATACCAACGCTGCGACCTACCTACTCTTGAGATAATTTGTTTTGGTAGTGATTTACGGAAAGTAGTAGTTCGTTATGGTATTTCGAGGAAAGTTTCGAGTAATTGTGGAATTTGCTTGTTAAGAAGATTAAATTCCTTGCATATCGCAGTTTGGAAGTTATTCGGAGGATAAGATTAGACTTTCAGAAAGCACGTGCGGATTTTTCAATCATTGCAAGTTAAATAGTATGATAATTTGGTAATTTGGTAATTTGGTGATTTAGTGATTTGGTGATTTGGTGATTTGGTAATTTGGCAATTTGGTAATTTGGTAATTTGGTGATTTGGTAATTTGGCAATTTGGTAATTTGGTGATTTGGTAATTTGGTAAATTGGTAATTTGTTAATTTGTTAATTTGTTAATTTGTTAATTTGTTAATTTGTTAATTTGTTAATTTGTTAATTTGTTAACTTGTTAATTTGTTAACTTGTTAACTTGTTAACTTGTTAACTTGTTAACTTGTTAACTTGTCAACTTGTTAACTTCTTAACTTGTCAATTTGTCAATTTGTCAATTTGTCAATTTGTCAATTAGTCAACGTGTCAACTTGTCAATTATTCAACTTGTCAACTTGTTAATTTAACTTATCAACTTGTCAACTTGTCAACTTGTCAACTTGTCAACTTGTTAACTTGTCAATTTGTCAATTTGTCAATTTGTCAATTTGTCAATTTGTCAATTAGTCAACGTGTCAACTTGTCAATTATTCAACTTGTCAACTTGTTAATTTAACTTATCAACTTGTCAACTTGTCAACTTGTCAACTTGTTAACTTGTTAATTTGATAATTTGATAAATTGCTAGTTTGATAACTTGATAATTTAATAATTTAATAATTTTATAACTTGGAAAGTTATAAATTTCAGAATTGAGTGATTTTAAAGCATAAAAATTCAGAAGTATGTAAATTTAGAAATTTACATGTTTGCAAAGTTATAGGATTGGTAAACCAAAAAATTATTCATTTTTTGAATATGTATGTATGACTGCGTAACTGCATAACTGAATATAACACATTTAATTATGAAAGTATTGTTATACTATTATCATACTATTGTTATACTATTATTATGTTGTTATTATACTGTTTAACTGCAACTTACCTATAGCTACCAAGAATGTCACTCTACGATTCATTAAACAATATTCTGTACTCACAGTAATTAACAACTCTTTCAATATTAATAATTCTTTCACATCTACATTTCATAAATCCTCCCCAAACATAGTCTTCCCTTTCCCACTTTTCTTCATCTCTCATCCCCAACAAAATCAGAACATTCTCCAAAAAGTTTCACAATTAATATTTTAACCAAAACTCACGAAAACTTCCATAATATATTCCACCTTCAATTACAATATTATTGCCTCGCAGTATAATCCAACTAATAAATTACTCGCTCGTCGTATTTAATTATCCAATACAGTTTCAGGATTTACCGCTGCCTCAAGCTTCGCTAATTCCACGGCGACCACTTTAACATAACGCAAAGCAATCCCCTTTCGTTATTAAATATGTACATAGAAACGAGTCCCCTTAGGTTTCCTCTGCGTCTTCACATTCAACTTCGACGTCTCTTCATCCGTAATCGAATTATATGCAAGTTCGATAGAAAGTTAACGTACCTCTAAATCCAGCTTGACATTAAGATGGCTCTTCTTAACCGAACGAGTCCGACCCAATCACATCAACCTTCCGAATTACACTTTGCCTGATTAATTCGTTCGATTCTTTTCTACGCTTTAATTTAACTGCAGATCGTAATCTCGTGCACTTTAAATTCGGAGTAATTAATTTCCTTCATCGTCGTTATTTTTCTTCGCACGAAGGAGAATTATGCTTGTCGGATGTGGAACTAATAACAATTAATTCGAACGAATTTATGTCGCTGGAAACCAATGACCATGATAACAAACATAAATTGCGTGTAACCTTAATTGCGTGGTGGAAAAGATTCTCGGAGGAAAATGTGGAGATGTTAGGTTAGGATTATGGAGTTATATCATTTTTAGCTGGACTCTTATTAATGTTGGTATACTATTATTATACGTGATAATACTATTATTATACATGATAATATTAGACTACTATTATTATACATAATAATGTTATTGCACTATTATTATGATTGTTGCAATTATGTCATTGTGGTGGAATGATAGAAAAATAACAATAGAAGAAGGAATTTGAATATAATACAATTGAGAACAAAGTATTTGAATAAAGTACTGATGTCAACCCACAAGTTGTTGCGTAGGAGGCTGGTCCGTAGGCGTGGCTTCCTTTCACTTTGGCTCCACCCCTCGCGTCATCTCATAGCTTGACATCTCTACAGTTACCGCATAGTTCATCAAAATATAACGTTAACAAAAGCGTATCCGATCGAACCACCAATTTCGTTTCCTCTTTTATTTATACGAATGTTGATTTAACCCCTTTGAATCCCGGAATCAGAGGGAATAGGGATAAATTTATAGCAGATGTTTACTCGCGTTCTCGAGTTCAACGAGCTCGATGTGTAATTATCGTTGCAATCGTTACTCGCGATTTATACGTCGTTACACACATCAAAACGCTCTCGCGAACTTATCGGAACGTGGAATTCCATATTTGCCGTGATAACTGTTCATCAGCAGTCAGTTGCAACGGTATACACAAGAGATTTGTTTCACCAGAAGGAAAACCGCAGCAACGTTGTTATCGCGCATACATGAATCGCATTCGTCGAATTCGAGTAGCATATCCGATCGCCTGTAATTGCCGAATGCTTTGAAAATACTGTGATTCTCATGAATATTCTCTTCGTTCGATGCGTTTTCTATTTATCTATGCAAATTACTCGCGAGAATTTTCATTATTTTCTTGGCTTGTTGCTTCACGATTTTTACGCATTTTATGCGCTGTTTGCGTGCGTTATTTTTTTACCTACTTCACTTGTTGTTTTGCTCCTTTTTGTTTATTATTTTACTTACTGAATCTTGCTATTTTATTTACATTTTATTTTTATTATTTTACTTTCTCACTTGTTATTTTATCCATTTTCTATTTGTTATTATTTTATTTACTCTTTTACTTGTTGTCATTTGATTTATTATTTTACTTGTTATTTTATTTATTCTTTTTGTAGATAATTTTATTGAAAATTTGAGTAATTCAGCAGGAATAATTTTATTACACATTTTCAAGGATTATTTTGAGTTTTGGTATCTCAGGATTCTAAAACTAAAAAGTTAATGTGCAATCAATTGTATTATAGTTTTACATGCAAAATGTACAGAAAATTGCATTTTTATATGCAGGTTTTAATTGCAAATAATTGCAGTTTTATGCACAAACTTTTAATACAGTTAATTGCAGTTTTACACAGATTTTAAATACAGTTGATTACAATTTTACACCCAGAGATTTTAAATGCAATTAATTGCAATTTCACATACAAACTTCGAATACCAATAATTACAGTTGTGCATACGAATTTTAAATGCAATTACCTGAATTTCAATGCAAATTAACTTTTTTAACATACGTACATATTCAAACATACATTAAAATTTTATTGAAACTTCAGAATAAACTGCATATGTTACATAACCACCTAAAACTGACATATTGTATTCGCAACCGAAAACAAACCATAAACCTAACCTTACCATAAGCTATGTAAGGGCCTGTGTGAGAGCCTACAGTCTATTCAAACTTTTATAAACTAAAACCTGTTACGATTTTGTATAAAATAGAATACCACAGTGGTCAATGACCATAATTAAATTTTTTATACCCTCGAATTAATTTCTGCTTCAAACTAAATCCCTTACTTTCTGTTACAGTGCAGCGGCCATGCAGTGCGTTGTTTCGCTGGTGGTCCCCGCAAGAGCAACGAGTCTCAGTGTCCCATGCTTCAGAAGCTGGAGAAGCCCATCCTCTCCTCGTCCACAACAACAACTCCACCGATGACGTCAACGAAATCGACGATCGTGCGAAACCACCTGAACAGCACCTGCAGCGTGACAAATTCACCTCACCAGAAGAAACTGAGGTTTCACCTGGCGAAGGAGAGAAAAGCGAGCACCACCCTGGGCATCATAATGAGCGCCTTCATCGTCTGCTGGCTGCCGTTCTTCGTGTTGGCCCTGGTCAGGCCGTTCCTCAGAGACCCCGACCAGATCCCCGCGTTTCTGTCGAGCCTGTTCCTCTGGCTCGGCTACTGCAACAGCCTGCTCAACCCCATCATATACGCCACGCTGAATAGGGACTTCCGGAAGCCGTTCCGCGAGATCCTCTACTTCCGATGCAGCAACTTGAACCACATGATGCGAGAGGAGTTCTACCAGAGCCAATACGGCGATCCCATAAACAACTACGAGATCAAAGCTGGCGAGCTGGAGGGCGCTGAACGCCTGGACAATCAGGGCATCGAGGCGATCGACGTCGCTGCGAGCGCCCCTAACGAGAGCTTCCTATGATCCTCGAGAAACTCGTTCCTTGATCGTCGGGTCGATTATGGCAGCCTCGAGACGGCCTTGGACCGGCCGTGAACGACACCGATCGGTCTTTCAACGAGAATCAACTTTCTGAAGCTAGATTTGCAGATGGATCCACAACTTGTGCAAAAGCTTACAATTGGAAGCTTAGAAGAAGCTTTAAAGGATGTAGGTGCCCATCTAGGAGTGCGGAGGTAGATCGGATGTAATCGTTGAACATTTGGAAGCTCTGTGTCTACGTGTCGACCAGTTGGCTAAGATCGGGTCATAGACCTGTGGTCTATTTGGACAGGTGAAAGCATTTCTACGCTTTGTGATCGAAGTGTAAAGACGGGGATTTTGAACTGACTGGATACTGTCTCTTAATCTAGCATGACTTAGGATAAAATGTTTTAGGATGAATATGTGAATGTTGGGAGTCGATGGTTAGAAGTATGTTTTACGCTTGATGTGTCCAGTTGAAACGATTCTATGGAAGTATATGATCCGTAATGTTGTACAGAGGATAAAGTAATATGTGTAGTGTCGCGTTGATAATCTTGAACGGTGTGTAAGTAGCAGAGGTATCTTGAAAATAGTGACTCTTTCCATTTCAATGTGAGACGCGTTTACCAGTGCACTCGATTCTGTGAATTTTCGAATCGTTTTTTAGCGATGAATATGCGTTTTGGAGGTGACGTATGTTAAATTATTGGTTTCTGAGAGAGACAATTGTACTAATTCAAGCATTGAGAACATATGGAAATTTTGTTAATATTTTGTGTAATTTTGAATTTGTTGATGTTACGTTTCAGTATTAATTTTGGTGAGAGATTTTTAGGGATGGAGAAAGGAAAACTTGTGAAACAGAAGTAATTAAATTAGCAGGTTTCAAATTGTTGCAATTGTTGTTGGAAAGTTCAGAATTATTATACAACATATTTCAAGGTCATAAAAATGTTCCCATAATCTACCTAAACATTACAACCCTTGACTAGAAATATAAATTTTGCAAATGTCAACTGTTTATAACAAGCAAAGTTCAGTAAGGTACAATTAACTAAAGTCAAAAAATATATTGCCAAAGGTAATAAAAATAAGCGGATTTCACTACTATTTCTTTTTTAAACCGCAGTAAAAAAGTAGTAATCTTGTTTGAATTCTTAAATTCAATTTTCCAGCAAAAACAAGATTGACAAGGGAGAAAATCGTAATTCAGGACGGAAGAAAATCGAACAAATAACGCGTACCTGTGGGAAATGTCAATTGGAAAACCGAACCGGTCGGAAAATTACTCGTGACACACGAGGGCAGTAAAACCATCGCAACTGCTGCTTTCTTGCATCTCTGGAGTGCGATTACAACGAGCGTGTTTCCCATTTGAATGGTTGTTTGGGAAATTTGTGGGTCACGGAGACCCTTACGTTGTTGTCAAAATTCTTACAAAAGAATGTGGAAAATGTTACAAGGTGTTAATGTTACATTAACACATTTACGTTACAGTAAGGTTACATTAATATTCATTGTGTTTCTGTATTTGTTATTGCATAGAAGGGATGATCATACTCCTTATTTTACAAGAACATAAATCATTTATTGATCGTCACACTATACTTTTCCTATCCGAACCAAAAATACAATATTTACCCTCGTCAGCGAAAATAACATGCTTTCATCAATCTTGAGACTTGTCAACTTTTCTGGCGAAAATCAATCTTTTTTTTATGTTGTTAATGTACGGTTTTTTTACTATTTCACCATTATACTCATCGTTTCAATTTATTCTACTTATAGTTTCAGCACTGATTTTCTTTCTGCTTTCACGATAATCTCTGAACAGCAGGACAATCTCTAAACAGCACTATAATGACGAGTTTCTAAAATTTGTTCAACTACGAAAAACAATTATATTTTTAATTTTCACTGAATGGTTCATTTTTCTGTAAAATAAGAAATATATCTAAATTAACTTCTCTTGTGCAAAACAACAAAACTGTCTCTGAATAATAACGTAACGTAACCTGTAACCAACAGAATGAGGTTATGTTTCTACAAATAATACATTAAAAATCAAAATCGTTGATTTGAAGCTTTCTAAAACTCCAAACAAACGTACTTAAATTTAAATAACTTGTAACTTGTTCTCGAAAGCAATGAGTCTTATAAATTAATCAATTTCGAAAGAGAAAATTGATGACATTAGAAATTGTGGAACAACTCATCCGATGTTCTACCTCTTCTGCAAAGTTTGTTATCTCTTCACGGAGAAATTTCCATAGGGAAAATTGTTTTTGCTGAGCCGAGAATGAAGACATAACGAAGCAGGGTAACAAAGTGACGCGAGAAAATCGAAAGGTCTTGATGGAAGAGGAATAAACGAATTAGGTGGCGTTTCGAGAATTGGAACGCACGAGATATTTAGGGTAATATGTGAGGAATTTGAGAAGTTGTGTCTCCAGCTCGGAGAGTACAATCAATTGAAAGCTGATGGAATTGAAATTTCAACGCCGACAGGCGTGAATAACTTCGGATTTCCATGTGGAAATGAAGAATTCATTCTTGGTGCCTTTCCTTGAAGGGAATTATTAAAAACTGATAAATGACAGTTGCTTTTTCCGAGGAAGATTTGATCTTGATAAATAGTGAGAGCTTGAAGAATAAAAATTGAACAGAATGAAAAAGAGAAGTGTTATTAGGTTCTGTAAGGAGTGTTATGGATGCCATTTGTTATTTATAGATACTCATTTGATATTCATTTTTTATTCATTATGAATACTCATTTTATTACTCACTATAGACATTCATTTGTTACCATTTTGTTAGTTATTTTTGACTCATTTATGAATACTCATTTGTTACACATTTGTTACTCATTTTTGACTCATTTATGAATACTCATTTGTTACACATTTGTTATATTTTTAAGTTATTTCTTGTTATTTGTTGTAAACTAATTATCTGTTACATTTGCTATATACCAAAAATTTGAATCAAACTATTTATAAAAATGTAAATATCAATTTTATACTACTTTTATTTGGTTACATACTTGAAAGAGGTATACGGTTCACAAAATGGCGGCTGTAAATGCGACATGTCGTTCGTGACTGAAGTGCCATCTAGCCTGTCACAGCTGTAATTAGTTACAGTTGTTTCATTGTGATTTTTACATCTGAAATAATATTTAAAATTAATTATATTTGCATAATTATGTAATTTATTGTTCGTAGTACACAAATAATTTTTTACATAAAGTTTATATAATATGATTAATTAATTTTAATTTTATATCTATATTATTATATTATGAGTTTTCGTCAATATTTATTAGGTTAAGTTTCATAAATTATTAAATTATTAATGAATTTAATTAAATATCAATAACTATTGGAGAAGGTATTAAATATCTAATAAACTCAGTTGAATATTAGTTGTATCTGTTTAATGAATTCAGATGAATAATAATTTTAACTATTGATTAAATTCAGTTAAATAATAATTTTAACTATTGATTCAATTCAGGTAAATAATAATTCTTACTGTTTAATAAGTTCAATAAAATATTAATTATTTAAAAGATTCAGTATACAATATATTAATTTAATATTTACTACATTGACAATTTTATAAAAATACAAAATCTCATGTGCTCTAAATTAATTACACCAACAGACCTCCAAAAAATGAACAACACAAACAAAGTTTATCAAGTACAAGTTATCAAGTCACAAGATAAATATCTAAAAAATACAAACCGAAACAATTATTCCAGATGAAGAAATCTCATACAGATACAGTAACAAATGAGCACATTATTTAGCACCTAAGCCAGGTATTAAAAAACAAGAAACCAGCAATACTCGGTTGAACGAAGTTCTATCAAAGCAAAGCAAACAATCTCCCTCGTCGAACGTGGATTTCCACGAAGCGGAAAAACTTTTCTCTCGCGATTACGTTTACTGGCGAGGAAAAGGGATAAGAAGTGGCTGTCCGATACAATCTGTCGATCCCCGTCGGAGAATCGTGATTGCATCGAATTTAGAATGCTTTCATGGCAGGAATAGTGCAGTGGGGACTCGGGGGAAACGTAAAATCGTGTACCAGTGTTGCGTGATCGATACAGAGTGCATCGAGGGAAAAACCAATGCGAAACTCAATGGGAAACCTCTGTTACCACGCGGTAATGTTTGCTCCGCGAGTATTTCGCACGCGAGAAATACTCGCGATAATCGTTTCACGATTAACGCTAGAATTACCGGGATTAAATGCACCTTTGATTTTAAATTGAAAAGAAAGTGAAAAGGTAAATACCGGACGTTCTTTAACTCCAGAAATTATGACAGCCATTTCGACAGAAGTACGATGACCAAATTTTTGAACATAAAAGAAAGCAGTCATTTTGACGAGAATGCAATAAAATTTTGTAATGTGAAACCTGAAACTTTGGTTGGTTATTAGACATAATTCAGAGATAAATTATTGTTGAAATATATGGATCATTCTGTTTTAACACGTTGACTACCACAATGAAAACTGTGGCCAGACATATTTTGTCAGACCTAAGACAGTCGTAATACAGATTGTTAAGAGTGGGTGTATCTTCCAAGTTAATCTTCTGATCTGTCAGTGTATACATATGTCAGTGAAAACAGCACATACTATTTCAGAAGTTGCTTTCGTTTGTTCTTCCTATAAATAATTAAACCTTTACATTCGAGAGGTGACTCTTACCACTTGGTCGAATGAGGCAACTCGAGAGGCACCCGGCAGTCGCCATTTTGTATCTGAAATTACTCCGTGATCACGAATCGGACTCCGTCTTCGTTAATCCGAATTCAGCGGTCGTGCCAATGAGAATATCACTTTCAAAGTTTTTGTAAAAGTTTGCTTTTAACGGTATGTAAAAACTTTGGTTGACCAATTGAGAGATTTTCACCAGACTCGTAATCGAGCTTTTACTTCGACCTCTAGTTTCGATGAAATTCGATCGAATGGAAAGCTGTATGTTATTCTAGTGGGTGTTAGGAATTGCAAGATTTGCTCTCGACGAAAAAATCCTGGTGAAAGATTCGAACGACATATTACTGCGATATTTATTTCGATAAAGCGAGGGTGCATCTTGACGGTTGTTTTATGAAATACTGTACAAGGAAAAAATACAGCGCTTAATATTTAACAAATTTTCTTTCCTCTGATGTAATTGTAATTAATGGTGGTACAGAGAAAATATTTAGGTAATTTTATGGGAAACTAAGCACCTCACACATTTTATTGACTTTGAAATATTGTATTGTCATGGCTGTCCTGAAGAACTCTCCTTGCCATGTAGAGAGAATAACATTTACTTTGTAGATTGGAAAATGTTTTTATGGTATATTTGAACAATCGTTCTTTAAATGGAAGACAATTGTCACTAACTTTTAAAAAGATATTGAAAAAATTGTAGAATTAAATATTTCTTATCAATGATAATTTATCGATTTTTTTTATCAATTTTGAAAATTTGTAAATTTGTAAATTCAGAATTGCAATTTGGGAATTTCTTAAGTTTCTCAATTCGAAAATTTGAAAATTTGAAAATTAATAAAATTCTAAATTTGGAAGTTTATAGCTCCAAAAATTTGTGAGTTTGAAAATGCCCAAAAGCTTGTAAACTTGAAAATTCCCAAATCTCTAAATTTGACAATCTCCTAATTTATCTTTTAACTTTTTCATTAAAAAATTGATGATTCCCAATATCTATAAATTCTAAAATTTATATATATTCAAGAATTTTACTCATTTCTCGCCAAGAAACAATTCGAGAAATTATTTATTTTATTTAATAACTTAATAATCACTTTCGAAGCGTTATGTGCAAACAATAAAAATAAAGAAAGAACCATTTGCACTCAAACCTGTAGTGTAATAAAAATATTGTAACCCACGCTTTTAAAAAGCTTCAGCTCAAATTTTACGTGTTTGGAAAGAAAATCGAGGAAACTCAGGTAGTAAATTTAAAATCCACATATTTTACGTAGCCAAAATGATCGAATACAAAATTGATTAACATTGTACATTACCTGTTTATTTATATTATACTTGCAATTTAAATGAATTAATTTTGAACACTGGTTCGTGTAATTTTCCTCGCACCTCCAACAAAGAAACATAAAACACATGTTACCACGAACAAAAAGAAAAGATATGCAATAAACAGTTTGTTAAAATTGTATGAAACTTCATGAAGGTACAGTAACTGGTAGACGCGTGCTATTAAGTAATATTACAAATAAATATCTCTAAAATAATAAATCATCGTGCATGGTGCTAACAAAGAGAATCATTCCAAGTAACGGCGATAAATTAATGGGAGAAAGTGATGTGATTTCAGCTGCGAGAACCAAAATGTACTTTAACTCGTGTCGAAGATTTTGTAGGAATAATTTGTGACAGTATTATCACGGCGTTAAATGATATTTTCATATGTGATTACATTGTTACGTTGGCTCTTGAATATTTTAACAAAAACACGCGATGTTCGCTGTACTTTACTTGTATCATAGTATTTATTGAGATATTATCGTAGACTGTGTTACACGCTTATGTAATGTTCGGTATCGTTACGATGTGTAATATCATTGGTAAATATTGACAAAAGATACAGTTACAGTGACCTTAATGCATGTCGAGGTCGTCGTCCTGAATAACTTTTCCTCATAACTTGGTTGCATGTTGTTTGTTACAATGTTACTAGTAAAAAATATTTAGTAGAATATTGAGCTATAAATATTAATGTAAACTAATATAATTAAACTCAGCGTGTTTTCGATCATTGAGACATTTATTTTATATTGTATATCATAAAACATTAGCCAGCTCGTGGGTTGACACCTGTACAAATCTTAATTTTTAAGAAATTTATTATGCTTTATAACTGTTTAATGAACAACGAGCAACGATTAAGTTATAGGGAAAAGATATTCAGGAAAATGTTAATATGTGTCAAGGTGAATAATACAGAGTGTCACACAATTAGTGTAGGTC